TTTCAAGAAGCATCGAAGTGCAGGGCTTTGAGAAGAAGACCCTGGCATTGGATGACTGGGCGCACGGACAGCAATCTGCGGTGTTAGTAGCTTCAGGCCTTGCGATGCCCTCCTCGCAGCTACCCCGTATCCCAATCCCATTTTCGATCAGTGGTCAAGCTCCAGCCGAGGAGTTCTTGGCTTTTACTCCAGCTACCCACATGCGGTACTTGGTGTCTGGTGAGCTGCTTTGCTGGAATGTTCTTTCTTCGTTGGGGAAGGGTTCTGGGATGCAGTCGCTTTATTGGCAGAGAGAGCTTCGGAGAAGACAGAAAGTCAGGCGCTGTTGTTTTTCCCTCTTCTCCTCGCCCATCACCCGTATCCCACCCCCAGAGGATCCCACAAAGTGTCCCTGGAGTGACAAAGCCCAAAAACAATCCAAACCTGCAGGGTGGGGATGTTCGAACTAGAAGAATTGTGTACTCTCTAGACTCTAGTATTGCTTGTTTTGTGCAGTGAGAGTCGTGGCTTGAGGCTACGCTATGCCAGGCAGACTGGCGTGCTTGGGGAGGCTGAGGACGACAGCCTTCAGCCGGGGAGTCGGCAGCTTCCAAAAGCACCAAAACAAGATGCCAACAGCCTGTTGAAGTACTCGTTGCAGGAGATTGAAATCGTTCCAGGCTCGCCTGCGAGCTTGGCTTCATGAGCCTGTAAACTACTGTACTTGTTTCAGGCATCACTCTTTTGGAGTCATCCTCCTGACTAGGTGACTCATACTGGATAGCCGAAGCCGTCTTGTGGATTAGCGAATGGGCTACTTGGGTTCAAGTTCGAGAAGTGCAAGAAGTGCTTGGCATGATTCGGTCGAGCGCTTCTAAGGAGCATGTGGGCGAGCTGACTGCCACCCTCGAATCCAACCTGTTGCTGATTAGCCCTGACTGTATTCTGTGACCCGGCTGTCGAAAGCTCCGAGCGTCGACTGCAAGAGCTCGCAACCTGTGTTCTGCATGACTGCGGACACTGGTGCTCTGAGGCCGTGGGTTATGCTGCTGCTTGGTTTGAGATGTCTGATTTTTCAGCACCAGTCGCCTTGAAAGTAGGGTTCAGACGGCTTCAGTCGGCTTCGCATGCATGAGTTGCACGAGTCTCAACCTGGCCCAAGGTTTCCAGCTTCCCACAAGTATCTCAAATCATACGCGCAAGACTTTGCCAAGTTCTGTCGGAACTTGCCATCCGAAGAGCTAACAGATGTGTTGGAGCCTGCAATTGTGCAGCTCGTCTGAATGGTTCTCGTGGCTCCTGTCACCTTGCGCCGTTCTGCGGTCCCCCTGCTCAGGAGCCATCTCGTACACAGTCAAGGTCGTCGCAAAATTTCTGCGCAACTTTTCCGATAGGCGTGAGCTCAACTGTGCGGTACGTGTGAAGTGTGCACGGTCCGGGCGCAAGTCTGATCCAGCCACGTGCGAACGGTACACGGTATGCCTAAAGAAACTTCATCTATTGCGGTACGTCGCTGCAGTCATGTGGCTCAGCAGAAACATGTGAACAACTGGGAGCTTGCCCAATGATGGTGAACTCGCAGGGGGCGCTGTGGACGCTACTGGGACTCAGCCTTTCCGGATGTGCAGAGTCAGAGCCCGGTGACAATGGTTTGGAGTTGGAGAACACCACCACAACTCAAGGAACCGGCTTCTTGGGCTCCACCACAACCACGTCCACCACCTGGACGTGGTGCCAGAGCGGTCCAAATCTCTCGATGCCCAGTTCCTGATCCAGGCGACCTTCGGCCCCGCGCGAGCAACGCTCCAAGACCTCGAAGGTGTGAATCATGATCCCTGCCTGGCCTGTTTGCCTTTTGTCGGAGCTGCTGAGCTGCTTGTTTCTCACGCATTTTTCAGGAAAGCATGGTGCGAGAGAACACTGCGTGCTGGCAATGTGCTGTATAAGGCCCTTTTCCCATGATCTTCCCAATGCGAGCACCAGGCCTCGAAGCGCAGCTGTCGATGCCACCGACGCTCCTGCGAAGCCACTACCGTGCCAAGCCCGCGGGAGTTCCTCGTACCTCCTGCGAGCCTGGCTCTCGTTGGCTCCAGGTCACCTTCACTGCTGCTGACGTGGGCGCGCGCGTCGTGGCTAATGGGGCTCAGATCTTCGTTGCCGGTGCCGGACTGCACTGGATGCAACCTACACAAAGAATACGCTCCCACCTCCGATGTCGTGCACTTCCGTCGGCCGTGATTGGTGGCAATGGCATCCTCATCGGACCTGCGAGAACCAAATCCGACGATGGACTTGCAGCGGGGATGAGTCATGGACCCTCGACAAGTCCTGTCAGCAGGAATGCTTCGATGGTGTCTACCGCTACGATGGTGATGATGCTTTTGGACTGCCAGGTGGCAAGCTGCACTGCAACGTCTTTGCAAGCCTCGGACGTGACCCTCCTCTCGAACGCTCTCTCCACCCGGACAGGCGGCCTGCGCGACGTGAACTGCCAGTCAGTGCCTGCTGGTGCCGTGGTTCAGGTCAGCAGCGACACTTTCCAGCATGTCCACATTCATGAGGGCAATGTCTACGACTTCACGGAGTGGGTCAGTGCACATCCAGGTGGCTCTAGTGCCATCACCAAGTGGGGCAGCAATGGCTACAAGCTGCAGTATCCGGGAAACCATCCCATGGATCGTTTCGAGACCCAAGTCAAAAGCAATGTCCTCCAGTACGTAGGTAAGGAGGACTCGGAAGTGCGCTACCTGGACCTGCCGACCAATCTGAAGACAGAAGCCTTGGCTCTTGAGCTGGCCAGCACCTCCTCCCAAAACCTCTCCCTGGCCTGCCCCTCCCCAGGCGAAGTGGCCGACAATCCGCAGCTGGGCAATAACATGCCCTTCTATTACCGGTGCATCGACTTTTCCGACCTTCGCAACGACATGGATTTTGACCACCCGAGCGAGTACCAGCATCGGGGCAGGCACGGATGCCCAGGACCAGTGCCTGGTTGAATCAGGTGTCGACTGCACCAGATCAACTCCGACAGCGTATGGCATGGGCTTTGTCTCAGATCCTGGTCGTAGGCCTTGGTGGCACATACTCAGAGCAGCACGAGCTCTGGATGAACTACTATGATATCCTGGTGCGACATGCCTTTGGGAACTATCTCGACTTGCTCCGGGAGGTGACTTTCAATCCGCTCATGGGCGAGTATCTCTCCTTCTTGAGAAACACCGCCTTTCATCATGATCAGAACTATCCGGACGAGAACTATGCCCGTGAGGTGATGCAGTTGTTCTCCATCGGCACGGTTAAGCTGAACCAGGACGGATCTTTCATTTTGGATGCATCAGGCAACCCAGACCTTCGCCAGCGTGCTCACCGGCTTCGATCGTCAGGAGTGGCGCAGCAACATCGAGATGGTGCCGAGCACCTCCGCCGGGCGCAACATCATTGATTCTATGCGCATGGTATCGAGGTAGCATGACGCTTATCCGAAAATGGACCTGCACGGGAACTACCTTGGCGATGGGTACCCCCTTTGTTCAGATCTGCTCGACGATCAGTTCCTGCGGAAGGGGGCCCGATACGAGTTCGTGACGGTGAGCCAAGAGGCCGCAAGGTCCGTCATGAAGCTGCACCCCGACTCGGCACTGTACATGGCCCTATGTTCGGCCGATGGCTCAGGCCCTTGCCGCTTCAATTCAAGCACCGTGCTGGAAACTGATCTGACTTGCTACCAGGAAGAGTGCAGGACCACACGCCCAAGACTTCAAGAGTGGTCCAGGTTAGGTTGGAGAAGCTTTCTACGAGTTCATCCCGCCTGCATGCATGCATTTCTTCTCCTTTGAGGGCCGGCTTGCTACTGGCAGTGCCTTGAGGAGATTTTGGGAGTCTCGGAGAATTTGCACGAATCCGGCGACCTTCGTCGCCGGTGCCTATTGCTGCGCAGGCTGTTCGAACATTCCACCTCCGTACTTCTATGAAAGAGACGATGGCCTCATCGGTAACTGCGTGAACATGTCTGACGCATGGTTCACCAACAGCGGCTGCAATATTGGGGGCCCGGGAAGCTGGTGGGATCGCAACAAGTGGTGCGAACAGCGCTGTGATCAGCTAAATCTCAGTTATGGAGCCCCCTGCGTCAAGGAATACGAGGAGGCCCATGTCTGCGGTTACCACCAGGAGCACATGTCATACGACTCTGCCGTGCGCAGGTGTGCTTCCCAGGGTCTGGGCATCTGCGACGGTACGAAGTTGTCGACATGCAGGCTTAACGACGATAATGCCAAGGTTTGGACACAGAAGCCTGATAAGCTCCGTATTCGTGTAAGGGCACTGCCTGTGCCATTGGCAAGACCAGAAATGCCCAGAAGTGGGCATTGCCTCTGCAGGGGCTCTTGCAGGGCGCAAAAGGTCCTGCTCTGCCTCTGGGATCTGCGGGGGGGGGGGGGGGGGGAGCAGCGCGCATCAGCGTATCACCGGGCATGGCCCTGTGCACCTTCACGACTACGACCTACTTGTAGCATCAGCGGAAGTTTTGCAGCAAGGCAAGCCAGCATTCAGGTGCACACCATGTCGCAGTCGGGACGAAATCTCCGGTGTGCTAAGTGTAGCAACAAAAAAGACAAGTAGGCCACAACTGTATGTTTTGGGTTCACCATTCTCTGCACTTTCTTCGTACATTCCCTGTCTTTAACTCGCAAGCGTTAGTGCGTCAGTATTCAGTATGCTTTCTGCACAACACAACCACACTTAGCGTCTTGTGCAGGAGGCGATCGGCTCTCCTGGTTCGACGTGTTGGCGCATGACCGCTAGGTTTCACCTACGCCTACAGTCATTCATCATCACGCAGCTGCGAATGCATGTAGTGCATCTTTGCAGACACGAGCGTATTGCGATTGAACCAAAACAACAACGTCGTTTGGCGCTGGCTGAGCTGGGCGACCGATGCTTCTACGCGCCATCACACCAAATTCTTGATTGCTGCATGCCTTGGCTGATGGATGAGTCGGCAAAGCTCAAGTGTCTGCTAGGTGATCATCACCAGAGCCGCCCTTACGAGACATACTGGTAGCCTTTGTTGCACACAGTGCTCTGAACCCGGCAGATTTCCTTGTCCTCAAGGAGCACTTTGTCAGATGCGGCGGCGGCTGTCGAAGCAGCAGCGAGGCTTCCCATAGACACACACCTACCTTTAATAGCATGCTTTAGTGCAGCTTCGGTATGCGTTCCTGCAACGCGATGTTCTGACTTTTTACTGGGGTTGACTGCTTTTGTGCTGCAGGCGGCTAGAGAGCGCGCAGCAGAAGCAGCCGCATCCCTTCTGCGACTTTGGTCCAGGAAATGGTGGACCCAGTCCTTCGTCCATATGAGGTTCCGGCTGGACTTGAAGCTCGACATTGAGGACATAAGCGACTCTCTGCAGCAATTGCTTAGTGACTTAAAGACATGTAGTAACTACTTGCAAATCGACTCTGACAGAAAAGAAACGAGCCGTGCTCTTACCAGTGCTTCAGCTGGCTTGAGAAGACGTTTAGAATTTCAACTTAGGTTGCCCTGTGTGACTTCCAGGCGCCGGCCAGAAACTCAGCCACAACTCTAAAGTGATAATGTGATATTTATAAGGGCCCTTCCTTGACTGAGCCCACCTAGCTCGAAAGTCTTTCTGTCCACCCGGGAGCCCTCCAAGCATCTTCCAGCGCCGTTAAGCCGTTAAGCTTCGGTCCATCCGAATAGACCCCAGGGCAAGCGTTTCTTCGAAGAGGGGCAGTCCAAGGCCTGCCCGGAATCGCAACAAAACGGAAACTCAGCAAAACCAGCTGCGAGCTTTGCTTCCCGGCCCTATTCCAATTATATGGTCTTGAAGGTTCCAAAAGCCTTCCAGGCCTGTGGCTTGGACCCGGGAAGAATCAGGGTCTGGACCACTCATTCACTTCATCGATCCATCTGTCCATGTTGATAGCTTTGAGTGATTTCCAGACAAAGCCACAAAAGGTTCAGGAGGAGCCTCGGTCTCTCAGGTGATGCGGGCACACATCAATACACCTTCGCCTTCGGCACGGCTGCATTTACAGTCCCCTACCTAGACTCCATGACGAACTGAACACAACGTTTGCTGTCAAGCTGCGTTCCGGTGTGCCAGGACCATGCCGCACTTTTTCTCGCTAGATGTGGCATTGACCTGAGTTTATGCTGTCTCTGAAGTACACTGTGCACTGCAGGGTGCATCCTTCAGCAGTTCCTGCAGCCAAGGACATTGACTCTCTGAAGGTTGATGTGTTTACTTCTGCGCTCCGATGCTGGGAGCCTGCTTCTTGGGACAAGCTGTGGCGCAGTCTTCGCAGTCATCAAAAATGCATGCATCAAAGGCCTTTCCTCGAGCCCTTCGCAGCATCCTTGCAGGCTGCTTGCACAAAAATCCTTTAGAAATGACAGCTACGCCGGCAACATGACGAATGGTGATTGCTGGACATGTGCAGGACTTGCAGGGGAGACTTAAGTTGCGTGAGTTCTAAATACCAGTGGCTACAGATAGAAGCAGGTACTGAACTCCAGTTCAAAAATGCGGGGCCTGCAGCGAGCAAGGTTGATCATGAGTTAACATTGAGCACGTCTCATGACCAAGAACCAAGTCTTGGCAAAGCCAATCTGTGGTATGCCGCTCACTTTTGAAGCGTAGTCTAGTTTGCCGAACCCTCGGCTGGCACCGGAAGAGGGAGAAACGTTTTCAATTTTGCAGGTTACCGTGTACATTCCTTATCACATAGCTCGCCCAAACGTGCCCCAAAGCCCGAGAGGAGAAGAGGAGGAGAAAGACAATAAGGTTAGTTATGTTCAGTGAAAAGTGCACTTGGGGTTTACAGACAAAATCGGTCGCATGGATGATGAGAACCGCAAAGGAACAAGGACGCACATCGACTAATAACAGGCAGATACCAGAACATGCAAACGTCTAGGGTGAGCGAGGGTGCTGTGTACTTTTGTGTGCCGCTGATTTTGCAACAAAATTTCGACGAGCATCCGCACGCTTGCCAAGTCATTTTGCATCATGCACGCGTCCCATGTGCGCAGGTCGTTCGAACACCGGAAGGGGAAGACGGTCCTGACTGACACGCTTCAACACCGAAATTTGTGGCAGTGCACAGATGTTCGCGCCTTTTTGTTGTGCTTCTGCGTAGCATGCCTGTTGTCATGCACTGGCTCCCCCTGTTTGGCTCTGCCAGGCAACGCCCAGCAAGTGGTCGTCGCAGGTCAGGGGCCGCTACTGGTGCCGACCTTGAGTCAAGACTTGACGAGACAGAACCACTTTCTGCTGCGCATCGTAAGGTCAACATCACACCGAACATTGTTCAGCGCACAGCAGAGTGCTCAGGGTTCTGTGCAGCACTTGCTGGCAACTGACGCTGGCTGTTGCTAGTCCTTCAGATAACCCTCCCGATCGACGAGAGCGCTAGCAATTTAGCAGGCTCTACTCCTCTAAGACTAAGTGAGGCCTTCTTGCTGCAATTGCTGTCCGAGCTTCTTGGATGCATTCACTTGTCTTTGTTTTGTAGTCTTTCGGAGGGGCCGGTTATTAAACCACGGAGAATCACAAGGCTGTCATTTCTGAGTCAGAACCATTCACCAGGAATTCAAGAGTTTCAAGCTGCATGCACCAAACGAACCCAATTTGGTAGTGACAAAGACGTGGCTCCGGCTTGCGGCTTGGACGTCTCGGACCCTTTGATCACGTTCTGCCAGGGCCAGCCGCTGCCAGACAAAAAGAGGCCACGCTGCGAGACTCTCCAAGGGCGAAGGGCTTCGATGAATCATCTCGAGGTCATCGGGGGAATCGCGGGCGTGCATGTTGGGCTAGTGGCGCCAGATACCGCGTCCGTGACTCAGCATCCTGATTTGTGTAGGAATTGCTTCAAGCTTGCTTTGGTGTTTGAAATTCATGAAAGCATGAAGCTTGAATGTTCCAAGCTGGCGCTGCAACCAAAGCCGCTTGAGTGCTACTTACATGCTTACAGTCCACACAACGCAGCGCATAGCCAGGGACGCAACACTGGCTTCCTAGCTCCTGTATACTGTGAACCGCCTCTTACATTCTTCATGACATATGCTTCTACAAATAGGATCCAGGAGGCAAAAAGGCACGTCGGTTTCGCCTGGAGCCGAAGGGGCTTCCCGGCAAAATCCAACCAGGATAGATCCAGCATGAAGTGGCACGTGAAACATCAATGTCCAGAGCCTCATGGAACTCGTGGCTTTTGCGGTGCTAATTCAAACTTTGTGCAACGCTCGTATTTGTCATGTGCTTGCGCTGCACCCTGGGGCCCTCTTTAAGTGTTGCGGGGGGCTCTTAACATGTTTGATCATGTTTGGTTCAATTTCTGGACGCAGAGCACTTGGAGGTTCATGGTACTCTTTAACCAATTGTAGCTGTACTTATAAGTGTACTTCTAACCATATGAGGGCACTTAAGGGGCTTATAAGTGGGTTATAGGCACAGATAGAATTGGCTACTAAGTACCATGAACCTCCATGGAGAGCCCTCACGACCAAAAGCCTTGAAAACGAGCCTTACCCTGACTTGTTGAATGTCTCCCCCCACCAGAGGTTGGGGTTTATGTCCCAGGGAAAGGCGAATAGAGGCTTTGTCCAGTTGCGCCGGGGGGGGCCACAACCTCACTGAAGGCCGGCAAAACAAAACCCTTTTGGGAACAGTATGCAGCAGGGACCATCACGCGGGCCAACGTCCCATGTCCCCATCGATAATTACGTGGTGTCATATTGGCCAGAATCGCGAAGATCAGATGGGATGAGTTTAGAGAGATCACAAGACAACGAGTGCAGTCAGACTTGCGGATCCGCTTGTAACAGGTGGTCAATATCTGCGAGTACCCACTCGAGTTAGAAGTTCCAGGCCAAACCCATGTCTACCGTAGTTGGATAGCAGCAATTGAACACCACCTGCAGGTGTCCAGCACACGGTGACGGTGCCGCCTACAGGCTCACTGTGGGAGCCACTGGATGACTGGGTCACAGCCACAGGCGTTCAAGCAACGAAGCAGAGAGCCACACTGGAATTGCGTAAAATTTCCTGGACGACAAGGTGCTTCAGAACTTTGCCACTGCACTCCGCGTTCGTGTGCCAGGAGGAGCCTTTGCCTTCTCGAGTTAAGTATGAGAGCCGCGGGCTCGAAGGCTAATAGCTGCAGGAGTTGTTGCCTGAACCTGTTCTCTGATTCAGGATCCTATTCGGAGCTTCTATTCCTTGAACGCGTGGGTTTGAGCCTAATTATTGAAGATTGCAGGATGCCGAGCCATGCCCAATTTCTCCCTGCTAGACGATGCTGCACTTGTAAGTTGACCGATCGGGCCCAAGCAGTTCACAAGCGTTTGACCAAGCTGATGCATTTGGCTCGGAGGTAGATGAAGAGAGTGGCCCTCTGAAGCATACCACGTAGTTGCAGTCCTGGGCTGCATGATGGAGATGCAGGCCACGGTAATGCTGAGTTTCACCCTGCTTTGTAACATTGAAAGTGATTTTCAGGTACTTACAAGTTTCATATTACAAGCATTTGTATCTTCCTCCCTGCGGGATCCTCACCACAGATGGCTTCCTGCTGCATTCATCTTCCCGAAATGTTGGGTGCAGAAGCGTTCTGCTGCAACAGGTTGGCAGCTTTGTCTCCTCTCTTCTTGATCAAGCAACTCGGACTCGGCAAAGCAGTGCTTACAAAGATGAAGGTCAGGCGTTCTGTTGTTCCGTTCTCTGGCACGGAGGGTGAGGTGTATTAGCCCGTGTCTTCGTGCCCATAGCCCAGCGGATCCCAGCGGCAGTGTATGAGCTTGGCTCAGGGGCTGAGGGTCCAAGCGCGGAAAATCGCGGTTTTAGGTTTACTCAAGAGTCTTTCGACGAGCATGCTCATCACTATCCCGCCACCCCAGCCTGGCAACAATAAGCGTGGCAGCCCAGGGAAGACTTTAAATCCCAATGTTCTGCTGGCAGGGGTGGTAAAAACCCTTCAAATCACAGGTGTCGACAAACACTGCCGCCACAGCTGTTTTCGGAACCTGACCCACGTGAAGCAATGCAAATTGAGGCAGTCGAGGCCCATGCAGCAGAGCTGTCCTTTGATGCCGAGGCAAGGGCACAGAATTTAACAAGCGCTTGCTACCTCTGCAAGCCTTAGTGCACTCAGGACGCTGAAAGTGTAGAGTTCTTCGAAGAGGATGTCGCTGAAATTGTCATAGACGAGGCCGGCGCCCGTTGTTTGCGACTGCCCACTGTGTTTACGCACTTTAAAGTTAGGCATGCAGATCTGTGTCGCAAAGAACTGGTGGATTTCGGACGAGGAACAGCACTCCTTGGCGGAAGAGCCCGTGCAGCCACCTGGAAAGCAAAGAAAGTCTCATTTGGAAGTGCGTGGCTGTGATTGAAACTCCCCGAACCCCCTATTAAAAAAAAAAAAAAAGAAAAACGACGAGGCAGAGCACCAGGGATCATGAAGTCATGAAGCATGCATGGAGCAAAATGCCGCAACCTTCCTCCAAGGCTTCAGCTGATGAGCGCAGGAAAGAGCCTTGACGCCTCACAGACAAGTCCCTTCTTCAAGCAACTCGCCTGCAACAGAGAGGAAGAAAACTGACACGGGCCCGGTTTGCTTGCTGTTGGGCAGCCTGCATCAGCAGCCGTCAGGTATGTCTGTCAGCTCTTGGATGGAGCATTGAGTGGGCAGGCCGCTTGCCCGCGCAAGGCCCATGACCGAAGGCATGTCAGAGCTCTCTACTGTTGGAACTCGGATGTTTGTCTGGGTACGCCTGCAGAAGCATTGCTAGTGGATCATGGTTGGGGCTGTGAGTTCCAAGGCCTGCATCTTCGAGAATGTTGCGCCTGCAGCTCCGGTGCACACTTTGGCTTCAAGCACTCAAACTCACCCAGCCAATTTGCACGGCACATTGCCGCTCGAGCCAACACCTCCCGCCGCTCCGCTGGCCGGTCCACGCTTCAGCCACCCTCAAAGGTTCCTGGCCAACCGGCCGGAGACCACTGCCCTCATGCAAGTGCCACGCCCACCATCGATGCCACAAGCCAAGCGGCCACCACGGCGACATTTCGGGTGGCCCACCTGATTTAATCGTGCCAGTCGACCAATGCCCAAACCACTCAAGCCACATGCATATTTGATCTTTCTGGGGCTAGCCTGTTGAAGGTCTGGCAAGTGTGGGAAATGTTGATTGCATGCATGGCCAGGGCCATGATCCAGAACGGCAATGGCAATGTCACGAAGGCTGGTGAAAACTCTGTAAATCAACAAAATCGACTCAATAGACTAAATAAAGATCAAATACAAAACACACATATACACACACACACACATATATATATATATATACGTACACGAACTAGTACAACGTATTGCGCATCTTCGAAGTTGTGACGATGGCAGGTATTAGATGTGAAGGCACCCGTGGAGCAGAGGCCAAAGTCATGGCAGATTTCGACGGATGCGGCTGAAGGTTGGCGCTTGCAGTGCAACAGGTCTGGAACCAGCGCTGTGGCACTGGACTTAGGCCTCCGCATGTGGATGCAGAGGGAAGGATGCCTCGTAACACTGCTGATGTACCTGAATTGAGCATGAAGAAGATGTTGCGTGATCCTGTGAAGGGAGGGAAGGAGAAACTTGTTACAGTTGGGCACGTCGTGCTTGCAGCTGGGCTCAATATGCTGCAACCGTTTGCCGCAGCCAAGAAGCGCTGCTAGTGTTGCCAGCATTGCCAGCGCACTGAGCCTGCCTGAGCTGCCTAGGTTCCAGAATTGTTCCGGCTGTTCCAGCACGGACGTGAAAGTTTCGGGGTGTCGGGCTGGTCCTACTGGTCATGCCGAGGCGCAGCATGCCCCCGAAACTCACTACCAAGGACAGCCTGCAACTTGCGCAGTAAGACGGCAGGCCGTAGTCGAGTCTAGCCGGAACTCCGGAATCCTATGCAGCTATGCTTTGTGTCAGGACACCGCAGTCAAAAAGAAGCAGAAGCTGCTTTCGAAGGCCAAAGCAGTTCTGAAGGTGGGACGATGAAAATTACTTTGGCAGCAGCTGCCGATTTCGTGTAGCAGCTGCACCAGCCTGTGAAATCTCTCGCCAAGGTCGATCCAGAAGCCCCATGGCATCAATGCTCATAGTGAGTGAAGACACAAACAGCTGCGCTGTCAATGTCGTCTGTGGTTGAAAAAAAACCGCGCACCTGTGTTGAGTGACTGAGGCGGTCAAGCGCCGATTGGATGAGGCATCCAATCAGTTGAGGTTAGATGTACACCACGAGGTCCTGAAGCAGACGCAGGATGAGGTGGAGGACTTCATAGTGAACTGCTTAATTTTAACGCTACGCGACCCGCCTCGGCCCGGCCCAGCGCATCCGCGTGAGCATGGTGATTCCGCAGCGCCCAAGTGGCTGGATCCCAAGCAATAAGGGTTGGGTTTAGGGTTTAGGGTTTAGGGTCCCGGGTTTATGGTTTATGGTTTGGGGTTTAGGGTTGAGGGTTAGTTTAGGGTTGAGGGCTTAGGGCTCAAGGTTCACGGTTTGGGGTTTAGGGTTTTTTTGGGTTTAGGGTTTCGGGCTCAAGGTTCAAGGTTCAAGGTTGAGGGTTGAGACGGATAGGCTTGGATTGATCGGGGGGGGGGGAAGGGCTTCGAGCTCAAGGTTCAGGCTCGTTTTGGTGGGGGGTGGGTTGGGGGGCAGGGGGGGGGTGGGGGGGGGGGGGGGGGGGGTAGGGGATGCCGGTTTCCTAGGGGGGGTACCCATTGAGGCAAAAAAAGGGTCCGAAAAAGGGAGGTCACAACCTGTACACCTTGGCCCGAGGCCGCTTCCATGCCTGGGTTTACTTAATGACAAAGTTTTCGCGAAGTGCCCTGGAAGATATTGCTGGAGGCGACCCGCCATTAGACTGCGTGCCGCTCTGCCAGGACCATTTTGAGTTTATCACCAACCTACAGGCATTGAACCAGGCATCGTCAGTCCAGTTTGTTCACACTTGCATCACTTGCGTTCAGACATGCTGGCAGCCGTAATTCCACTTCATGGCAAGACAAGCTTCAAGGGTGGATACCCGCACAGGCGCTGCGAGAACGAGATCACAAGCGAGACCGGGCGCAGGACATCTTCTTACAACCATCGTTGCGCAAATTGTGTTCGAAGTGTGGGGCGGCACTTTGCCGTGGTGGGCATCACTCATTAGACATGCGGCAGGACTCTGTCATGAATATGTTTGCGACGAAGTGCTTGAGCACGGTGCACGCGTGGCTTCTCTCAGAGTTTCTTGGCTCATACCAGCTCCCACAAGCTCTCATCGAGATCCTCTGGATGTGCCAACTCATTACAACTCTGTTACTAAGAAATTCAGACGGCACCGGGGGCCGGATACTGTAGGTCAGGTGCCAACAACGAAGACACCTATCTGAGACTGTACTATCATTCTCAGACACGGAACGACGGACCTGCATATCTGTGATATGTTTATACTCCTCAATGCTGTGCTATGCGCTGCTATGCTGTGTGCTGTTTCGCAATCGCTGTTTTGTATGGTCCTCTAAAGTCTTGATGCTTTTGGATGATTATGCTAGTGACGAGCAGCTTGGCTGACTCAAGCTAGTGACGATGAGTCTGACGAGTGGGCCACGTGGATGCGCATGTGTGTGCCAGGCAGCTACAGGGTTGATCTCTGGATCGTTTACCGGGCTGTTGTACGGCGGGTTGCACGTGCAGCTTCCTCTCAGCTTTGATGCGAGGAGAGAGAGGGATGCATGCTTGCAAGCGTTGCCAAACCCTGAGCTGTCGATGCACGTTACACTCAGGCTATGACTTTCCGCTTGCAGGCAAAATTGATTAAGACTTTAGCAGCAAAGAACCATTGCCTAATCATGTCGCGGAATTGGAAGTCGTGGGAATGCAAGTCTCGTGCCTGGACACTAAAGCTGTCAGCGGGTCCAAGTTCAGCGGGTCCGTCAGGGGGTCCAAGTTCACGGGGTTGTTGCCAGCGACACCAGTCAAAGCAGGCTTTGATGGCAAGGATGTTTAGCTGGCAAGGATGTGGCTGACTTGAAACTTGTCGACCTCGCAAGGAAAGGAGTTGATGAGTAGCTTCTTCGTGCATTGTCTGCTGGCATCTTTCAAGGTCTCGTTTTTACTAACAGTATTTGTCAGCCATTTGTTGCGTGTTTCTCGTCAAGAGAAGCGTGATTTCGATTCGATGCCATTGCATCCCATGTGCCTGGCAATGCTCCTCCT